TGATTGGCCTCGGCCCCTTCGCCCCGCCTCCAGGCAGACACTCACTTTCACCGGTTTGGGCAAAATGGCGCCGCTGCGGGTTACGATGACTGACCTCGACGGTACTAGGCTCTGACCTGAGCCGCCTCGTACGGCGGAGACATCGCCACCTTTCTTCAAGCTCGGCCCGCTCCAGAGAGCCCCGGATCGGACGGTGGCCAAAGCCAGCCAACGAGCCGCTCCGGACACCATCTCCCAGCTCCGCCCCTATCCCGGGCACCCGGACCCCACTGATCGGCCCCGGTAACGCCCTCGGGAAGAACGGCGACGAGCAAGTCTCGCGAGGCTCTTGGGACCAGATGAGAATTCCACCCGTACGCTTGCGCAGTGGACTTAGTTCCTGTTGTGGTGGGAGAGAGCCACCCACCCCGCGTGGTGACATCATGAGGACGCTGGGGTCCCAGCTCCGCCCTCATTCCGGGTTCTGGTGGGCGGGGCCGTCAAACTGCGCTCCTCAGGGTGGGGTTTTCTTGTTTCTGTCATTGTTCCCGCGCCTGGAACAGCCAGCGCCTGGCAGAGCAGGCCTTAGAAGGTGATTGTTGAAGTAAACTTAAGGAACCGAAAGGAGTATGATAAAAAAAAATTTTGTTTAGTGTTTTAATCGTGTAAAAAGCACTGTAACAATAGCAAGGATAACAAAGGCCTGTGGTATCTGTGCAGTGGGCTGTGGGGCTCCAGCACCGGCTGGGAAGGTGGCCGTTCTTCCTGGGAAACAAGCCGGGCAAGAACGGGTCCTGGAGATAAGAGGTGCTGAGCCTCAGCCTCTCTGCCTATTTGGGCCTAGGTCAGGCTGCCCAAGGCCACCAAGTAGGGCGAGAGAGACTGGGAAGGGGCAGACTGTGTGTGTTTGGGGAGCGGTGTCTCTGACCAGGCTCTGCATCTTCTGATCCAGCTACTGCCATCCCCCGAGGGCTGGTCTGGCCTCTGGCTCTATGGGCCCAACCACTTTGCCTCCCTGAACAATCTAAAAAGAAAATACTTGGCCTAATGTTGGTAAGAGTGACAATGAGGAGTCTGGGCAGGTAAGCCCTGGGTGACAGCAGGACTGTGTAGATCCCAGATGGTTTCACTGGCGCTTTAAGAAGCAGGAACACCTCTTTGGGAGCCCAGTCAGAAAAGAAGAGTTTGGCACAGCGCAACAGGAATCCTGTGTCCAAGCTCCTAGAATGCCCAGGACGGAGAACTGAAGTGATAAATGGCTTTCTGCGAGAAGCCACACTGCCTCTTCACTTCTTCTTTTGACTTCCCACTTGGCAGTTCCACCTCCAGGAGCTGGCTCCCGAGGGTGGTGTACAGGGAGGGTTTCTGCTGATGTATAAAAGCTACCAGCCCCTCCAGGGGCAACGTTGGCACCTTCTGTTGACAGGGCAGCCAGAGAGAGAGGATGGGGCCCTAACACTTTCTTAGCAAATCTCTTGTTGGCTGAAGACCCTCTCCCTCTGAAGGACCTTACCCAGACTGCAGAACGGGC